CACAAATTCATTTTTCTATTAGGTCATCAGTTTTCTTTATTGCATTGAAAAAGGTCTTTCAACATAAAAACAATATATATTCCCATCATATGTATTTACTCATATTTTTTCTATTTCTAATTGTTCTTAGTGTATGATTGATTTTTTCCTACAAAAGTTTTCATTTGTATGTGGTTAAATATAAGTTGACTTTCAGAAAATCATCCCCATATTAGTATTACACAAAACTTCAGTTAGATTTTGTTTGCATATTTTTATAGTTCAGTTTTTCTGTTTAAATCTTTGATCACCTAAACTTATTTTGATATAATGGGTTGGACAGAAATCCAGTATTTCTCCCTGAATTGCTGACGATCTGTCTCAATGTCATTGACTGAACTAGCTACCATTTCTCTCATGAAGTGGTATTCTGCCTTTATCCTTTATAAATTCCCATAGGTTTTGAGTTTCTCTTTTCTCCAGTTGATATGTGTATGTATTCCTTCACTATTACCATATGTTCTAATTATGCTGGTATATCTTTATGACAGTTTGATGGCATTAAGCTGTGTCATTGGGCTCATTGTGGCCATCATTTCAGTGTATACAAATACTGAATCATTATGTTATATACCTGAGGCTAATATGTTACATATCAATTATGCCTCAATAAAAATAAAATAAATTCCTGACAGCATCTAGCACAGAGGGAAAAACATGTCATTGAGTAACTCCTTCTCCCATGATAATTTATCATCAATGTGTTCCTGGAAAATCTCAAATGCTTACTTTACCAGGTACTATTTAGAATAATTTTAAGTCATGTACAAGCCCCAACTATTGGTTATTTTTTTGTGAACTATATAGTCTAAGAAACATTGTATCTGCTTTTGTGAATGGGGTCTTCCTTTTGACTATGTTTTCTGGCTGGTTGTTGTTATAGGAATGTTACTTGATCTGTGGCATACAGCACCCTATTATTTGGAATGGCCTTGAGAGCATTAGAAAAGCAGGGCCATTCCAGAAGCCTTTCTCTCCAGGGTAGACTGCACAAAGAATCAAAAGCGTAATAAAATAAGACAAAGAGCCTTTAAAAACAGACTGAAAACTTTCAGACAATTCTGTGGAATGCACTTACAGATGAAATAGAATGAGATTTGTTCTGATCCCTCATAAATAGGCTTCTACTTGAAACAGGGCACTTACCAGGAAAAAAACAGATTACTGTGGGAAATTACAATTAAGGAATTTCAAACACGTTCCTGAATATGTTTACTAGGACAGTCTTTCGACAGTCTCCATGCACTTCTGAGGCTCAGTGGTGAAAAACAAAAAAAACAAAACCCAAACATACAAAGAAGGATATTGGCATTATGGGCTTCTATGAGCTCCCCTAACTATGATTTCCTGGATTCTACAAACACCACTGCCTTGTTAGAGAGCCTTGGACTCTTCATTTTGAGAGATGAAGGAAAAAAGAGATGAAGGGTCTGGGACTACAAAAAATAAAAGTCAAAACATTTTTTGAAAGGTTGAAATTATCCAGAGAAGATAGCTGAAGCGTTTAGTGTTGCTTGTTAAGGAAAAAAGTCACAAAATCTGTTATTCTTGAGGGAAGCCACAAAAGCGGTTATTCTTGAGGGACAACTCACCTGACACCACCCTCCATCAGAGACCTAGAGTTCACCAGCACTACACAGTTTTTGCTGAGTCAAGGAACCCCGACATTCTCTCTCCAGGCTCTTTATGCACCCAGGGGTAGAGCAGTGAGCGTCCCTGATAACTTGGGCACACTCGAGCTGCTTTCCAGGACCTTGCAGACTCTGTTCTAGCCAACCATGTGTGCCGGTCCCCGGGAGACCAGCATGTCAAGGGGCTTGGACAGGCACCGAGTTTTTGCAGTTTATAACAGATGCCCTGATCCACAACTTTACATTTCGTTTGGAGTGGGAATCCCTTTTGACATGATCCAGAAAATGGCCTTTATCTTACAGAAGGGAAAAGTGTTTAGGAGTCAAAAGCAAAGCTGGGAATGGTCACTATTATTCTGATTTCAAATCATTTTTCTTTCCATAGGATGTAGACCAAGGCAGGAGGATTTCAAAACCTTTTGCAAATGACTATTAACAGATTAGCTTGGCCTGACCCTGAACTAAGCATAAGGTTATAGAGTAGCAATTCCAGACCAATACAAGCCAAAGTGTGGAATTAAAATAAATGCATCAATTGCAACATTGTTTATAATTGCAAAATTTTGGACACAACCTAAATGGCCACACATAGGAGACTAACTGTATTAATGATAATGATGGTATAGCTATACAACAAAAAATATGCTGCTATTAAAAGGAATGAGGACAACATTTGCATCTATCTAGTTACCTTTACTGATGTTCTTTATTTCTTTTTATGGCTTTGAATTACTGTGTAGTGTTTTCTTATTTCTCCTCCAGGACTCCACGTAGCATTTCTTGTAGGTCATGTCTAGTAATGATGACATCCTTCTGTTTTTGTTTTTCCAGGAGCATCTTAATTTTTCCCTCATTTTTGAAGGGTAGTTTTGCTGGACATAGAATTCTTGGAGACCAACATTACTTCAAATTCAAGTGGCAGAGAGGGTGGGCTTTGCTGTACTAGCTGAACCAGATGATGACACTAATGAGTGCCCCTGTCAGCCATCCTGCTCCTGTGTGTGTTAATGCAGAGTTTGTACTTTCTCCCAACCATTTCCTCCTCCACAGTCTTAAGGAATTTTCTGCATGAGCTTTCCAACTATGATTTTCTCATCTTGTTGCTCTATGTTAAATCATCTGGACCTAGCACTTAGTGGGCCTAGAACAGGAGTTTTTGGACAACTTTCTATACTTCTTTCATGATATTTGTACAGTTTAGCTTTTCTACCTATTAAAATAACTAAGGTAATTAATTTTGTTACATTCCTTATGTTGTTGAATAGTTTTGTATAAAATGGAGCAAAACACTTTAAAATTCCCCTCTTCTGTTCTTTAAGTGTATTACTTTCCCATTCTCATATCAAATTTTATGCATTTTAATATTTTTCTTGGTTTTTCCAGGAGGATCTTTTCTTTCCCCATCATGATACCATATCAAGAATTTACTCACCACTCATACCATTTTTCTACTTTCTAAATTATAGCTTACTTCATTTTTATCAATATATTCTTTTTCATCTTGAAATACTTCTTTTCAAGTTTCATTGAATTCTATTCTATGTGTATAGTCTTATGTAATTTTTAGTTTGCAATTTCCTGGCTTGTTTTTCCAAATCTTCAGTCTCTTTGTTTTATCTGATCTTTTGCACACAGGATTAGACAAGGGTTTACTTCTTTGATCCACAAATAAAATCAGTGCTGTCAGAAACTTTCTTCTACTATCAGCATGGAATGGAGTGGTTTCTGGTATTTTCTCAAGGGAGCTGTGGGAAGGAATGTGGACGCAGGCAGGGCACAATAGTCAATTATAGTTTAGGAAGATTTCATCCTAATCTGCTGAGGCCTGTGCCCTAAGGAAATATTGCCTCTCAGGTGATATTATGACCCTTGGGAAAACAGATAACCATAGTAGGAGCTCAGAGTGAAACTATATAGCTCACATATCTTGTGTTTGATAATTTAGTAATTTTTAATCTACATTTTTTATGTAAAAACTTGGTTGGTGTTTCTTTTTTATCCCTTACATACAGCATTCCCTACAGGCAGATTAGGATTTTAAGAGAGAATTATTAGAAATATGTTTTCAAGCTGTCCTTCCTCCAGAACTACCTCCATGGTGTTCTGAATGCATATATGGTCATTATTGGAATACTCACACTTATCCTGTGGTCTGTCCACATGCCACTCTTCAAGGTCAAGGTAAAGGTGTGTTCTCTGTACCATTCAGGACCTTTTCACATTTGCAGAAAACTTCACTTCTCTAATAGGGTAGAAATAACTCTCTGTGCATCCTATCTCAATATATTAATAAATCCATGAAATGTTTGGCAAATATTCCTCATAGCCTATTGGGCTGTAGATGTTTACTATTTACACAGAAAATTAACTCATTTAAAATCAACTTTGTTGTTTAGGTAGATTTAACAAAAAGAACCCAATAAGGAAACCAACACTCATACTTCTTTATCCAGTAATTCCTAGCAGCATTAAAACATGTTAAATTCCTACCATCCTTTGGAAATGTCTCTGGAGCTCAGTGCACCGTCCAGATACACCCCCAACTCTTGCTGCTCAACTCAAGTCAAATTCAGACTTCCTGAATAGGTTACATCCGTTCTGTCCTCCAACTGACAGCTGTATTAATCTTCTCTAATTGAAGTTGCTAGCAGTATCTGAAGTCAGTAAAGTACTGGGCTCATGTCAGTCTTTTTCATGATGAACTTCATAGCCAGTTTTGTAATTGGTGCATACCATTTATTTCTTGAAACCTTCTTTCTTTGGCTTCCATTAAGTTGCATTATCTTCACTGTCTTTGTGTATAACTGTTTTGTCTCAGGTAAAACAAAGGTATCTCAAGCTCATTTTGAAACAAGAAGTACAGGGTTATATCTGTGATGGAGTATTTAAATTATGGCATCATTGAAGGACTCATAAAACTTAGAATTTGAAGGCTTGTTCAGCCACTGATTAATTTTGCAGACTGAATTTCTTCTGTAAATACGGGAGGCTTAGCATCATGGTCTCTACTTGATAAAGATTTGCTGGCGCCTATGAAGGGAAGACAAAGGCTTCTGAAATCAGCAGCGACGGGCGGGGTTAAAATTGTTCCAGATACACAGCGAGAAGAGTGGGGTTTGTCAGACCTGATGAATGCCCTGGGGAAGACGAGTGCCTCCAAACCCACTCCATAAGGCAGGAAGTAGTAAGGGATCGGGAAAGAGGGAGCACGTGCGGGGTCTCAGCAGCTCTGCCCCCGAGGCCATTACAATGCCACTTCCGGAGGCGACGTCAGAGGAAACGGCTGTTCCTTTCCGGTCAGGTCAAGGCCCTCTGACCTTGGGCCCTGGGGCCGAGAGCTCCCCCTGCTGGCACGCCTGGCCGGAGCCCATGTAAATGGCGCCCGCGCGCCTCCTGCGCGCTGGGTGGGGTAATGGAGCTGAGCGCCCGTGTCGGCCCCTCCCTGATCATCCTGCTCCTCTGCCCGCGCACGGCGCAGCCCGGACAGCGGAATGGCCCTCGGGGGGCGCGGCGGGGCGTGGCTGGGGTGGGAAACGTTTCCTCGGAGGAGTCCACGGGCCGCGTCCCCGCTCACCCCGCGGCATTTTTCCTCAGCTGTCAAGAAACCCGGATACTGCCCCGAGTTGTTCCTTCCCTGCCCTTTCGCCCTGTTCACCCTGTGCCGGCGCGATAGAGGTTGCAGGGGGGCCAAGAAGTGTCGCTTTTTCAATTGCAGGAGGCAGCGTGTGGAGCCGTGGTCGAGTCTGGACTGAGGTGAGAAGGCCGCCCCTGCGGGTCTTGACTTTGCCCCGGAAACGTCCCCGAAGCGCCAGGTGTCCCCGAGGTTGCTGAGCGCTGTCAGTGCCCTGGGAAATCACGGAGAGCAGAGCTTTAAATTGGAGTCTTCACTGAAATTTGAATCAAGGAAAGTAAAGAGAGAGGCCCGACAGACCCGCTTTCTCAGTGCACAATTCATTTCCTGTAGTGGCCATCACGGTGCTCTCCAAGCTCCTCAGCTGTTAACGGAATTTTTATTATGACTATGTTCATGCGCCATTGTTTTTCTTACAGTTTATAATAATGAATCACTTTCCTCTTCACAGTTGTTGAGGTAAGGGATTATACAATTGCAATTCCTTAGGAGGCCTGCCTACAGAATTCCCAATCCCCAGGCAACCCATCTCTGTGCCCTTGGGAGCAGCACGTCCAGCAGATTTCAGACCAGTGTTCTGGTGACCCAGTCCATGTCCCCTGCACTGTGGGCACCCTCCCAGATCTCGGATTCTCTCTTCTTTCCCCAGGGAGAAACTCCCTGCTAACCAGGCCTGAGAAGGCACTGGTACTATAGACTCAGATGTGGATAATTGATCTTCAATTCTTCTAGGCTCTCTTCAGTCCCAAGACTTCATTTTATCAAGAGTTAAGTGTTATCAATATGAAAACAACACAAAGAAATAAAGTTATATATTTAAAACAACGTGTGAATCTGTGACTGCTGGATCTCTCTCTGCCGTCAGCCTTCTAAGGCTCCTTTGGGATTTGTAAAAAAGGATGGGGTTACTGTTTCACATTTAGCTTTGATCAGTTCCTGCACTTGTATTTTGCTGATGTTTCTTTCTTTCAGCATCTCCAGAAACTCAGATTCTCTGTCAGTCAGATTTCAGGGGCATTGTTGAATCCAGTTTTCTATAGGTTCATAGTTTGAATGCTATGAATGGTGTACATGTCGCCCTGGCATGGAGGACCCACCTGTTTGCTTCATTGTCTCTGGTACTGCCAGTGGCCCTTTCACTGTTGGGATAGAATGATTTAGGACTAGATTTGGGACTTGGGTTGGAATTGGAGCAGGACATGCCTTCATTCTAGGCTACTTTAGGGTCTAAAATTAAAACCATCAGAAATCAGGGAAAGTAAATCCTGTCTGTGGACGAGCTTGGTTACCTTGAGTCTTAGCTTGACAGTGGAGCCCCCAATCTACCTCGTAATGAAGTGTTATTTAGCCTTTATTTTCTCTTTCTGCTGCTCTGTCGTTCAGTCTGGATTAGGGATCACACAGGGATACCAGGTCTTGGAGAATGATCTTCAAAACAAATTATTTTTCTTTGATGTATTTTAAACAAATATTTGGAAAATGATTCCCTAGAAGGTCTTAAGTTAACATTTTTAATTTTCATCACAATTTACATAGTGGCAAGTGATAAAATGTTGGGCATATGATGAATACTGTCATTAAGATAAAATGAAGACCTCACTCTCTTTAGTTTCCAATGGAATCTAATTACCCTCTTCATTTAATAGTTGTATCTATTAGAAATAAACATGTTTTTTCTTTTCCTAATCTTCTGCCTCCCCGCTTGCTTTCCTTTTATTGTTTGAACAATTCAAACCAAAACAAAGAGGTGAGTGGGTTCATTTGAGTACTCTCAAAAGCAGATGTCAGGACAAGGTCTGATAATCAAATTTATTGACGAAAAGGCCTGGGAGAGGTAAGTAGGAGATAAAGACAAGGACAGCCAGTCAGACCCCAAAACAGTGCAGACTCCTGTGAAGCAAGAGGGTAGAATGCAGGGTTCTGGAAGAAGGGTCTCAGAATACAGGGCAATATTAAGAAAGTGTCAGCCGAAAGAAGGTGTTTGAATCAAAGTCACCTAGCAAGAGAGTCCCATGTCTCTCAGAATGGGTTGGAGATGGAGGCGACGATCCCCTCTTCCTTTCCTAGGGCAGGAGCTTCCACTGGGCATCCTAGGAAAGGTGATCCTGACAAACAGGGACAAGTTCTTTGCGAGGGCTTCCTCGGCGGTGTGTCTGCACCAGCTGCAATCAGCCTCTGACGGAAGAGCCCTGTCAGCCACATTCTTCATCCCATTCCCTCTCCGCATCTATCTGGGTGTCTTTTCATTTCCGGTTCATGTTCATTTTTACTATTCTATCTTACTACCTCTCTTTCTTTGTCTACCTATCCTTCTGTCTGAAACTGTCCATTTTTGTTGGGATATTTTCGTGTTTCTGTGTGGCTTGACCTCTCCCTGGGCCAGGAACACCTGCGTGTGAACCCGCCTCACTCCCTCCTGAGCCAGTGACTCCTCACTGGCCACCAATCAGGCTGACCTTAGCTCTCTTTGCATTTCTGGGGACTCCTTTCACCTCCTGGGAAGATGCTCTCTCATGCACCTCCCTGCTGGTCCATGTTGTCTTTCTTCAGAGGAGAAGAAAGCTGGAGCCTGCCTCCTAGTGAGTGAGCTGGAGCCCCTCACTGGTGCGGGTTTGAGGGCCCTCATGTGCGGATGGCTGTGCTCAGAGAAGCAGCGCTGCCTGGCGCAGCTGCGTGCACTGCCGGGATCCTGCAACGGTCTCAACCTTGGTGAGAGGGGCCTGTCTGCAAGGAAGGGGCGAAGACAGGCTGAGAACCAAGAGTCCTGGGGTGCTTGTGGGGGCTTCTCTGAATCTGGTTGGGGACAAGGCCTAGCTACTGTCTGCCACTGCCACCTTTCTAAATTTTATTGGTCACTTGAGGCATTAGTGGAACTGACAGGTCACCTTGACTGAAGGTCAGCTGCTCGTCAGTCCACTAGGGGGCCCACTTGCTTAAAGGAATCAAGCCTTCCCTCCTGGGATGCTTCAGCTTGCGAGCTGGTGCGGGGGCAGGAGAGAGGGATTGGAGCAGGATGCGGCTGAGCTGTGGACCTGGACAGCAGGAGGGTCTCAAGCTCTGGACCTGCTCTGTCCAGTTCAGGTGAAGTCTGGGCAGTGTTCAGAAGTGAAAGGCACTTGTATGACCCTCAAGCCTCCAAACCGTTGCAAAAAGGATGCTCATTGCTGACCCAGCCTGAAGTGCTACATGGGCAAATGTAGGAAGTGGTGCATTGTCCCTGAGGAAGGTAAGACAGGCTAGGCTCAGCTCTATGACCCACCTGCCATCACCCTTCCCCATGTGGCCCACATCCATTGACTTGCTTATTGCCTCAAGCAGGTGACAGTAGCCCTCTGAGACTCAGTAACCCTCAGTTTCTCCATTATTAAAATGGATGCGATCACATCCTTCAAAGCAGAGGTGGTGCAGGGAATCTGTGTGCTGTGAAGCATATGAGGGCTTGTTGCTGTGGCTAATCCCAGGTTTAGTGGGTTCCAGCTTGATACCAAGTGTCAAACCCAATAGGACTGTCAGAATATAAAAAATGCTGAAGGCCCTTGGACCAGACCCATGTCCAGATTTTACAGGTGGGAAACTTGTGGCACTAAGACAGTAGAAAGTCAGGATCTGAGCTCAAGGTCCTAACCTTGTGCTTAAATGAGCAGTGCTCACTTAACTATCCCCCCACCATTATCCTTTCCTGCCTGTCCTGAGGAAATGCCAGGGACTGGTGGCCATGGATGCCTTTGGACCAAGAGGTAACCTGGCTAGTACTAGTGCTGAGTTAGTGCTTTTCTCTCCACAGACTGATCCCTGGTGTAGATGGTCCTGGATTCTCTTTTCTCCACTACGTCTGAAACCTTTGAAAGCTCCCTGATGAAGACATGGTTTTATTACCAATACCTCCTTTGGGTTCAGATTTGGGCCTTAGTATCTGGGAAGGGGCTTGCACACAGCAGACACTTAGAAAATGCCTATTGTTTAGAAAATGAAGAAATGAACGTGCTGCTGCTTCACATCCAGTTTCACTGGTCTGGTGGTTGAGTGGAGGAGGTAAGTGGCAGGACATTTATGAGTGTGGCCTTCCTGCAAAAGCATATGGAATATAAAGGATAAGGAGCAGGGACTTGGGAATAAATTTAACCAAGGAGGTAAAAGCTTGGGACAATAACTGCCAGACACTAATGGAGGAGATTGAAGAAGACACAAATAAACAGAAAGATACTGTGTTCATGGATCAGAAGAATTAATATTGTTTAAACGTCCATATTACCCAAGGCTATCTATAGATTCACTGCAGTCTCTATCAAAATTCCAATGGCATTTTTCCACAGAAATGAAAAAAACGATCCCACAATTTGTGTGAAACTACAAAAGACCCCCAATAGCCAAAGTAATCTTGAGAAAGGACAAGGCTGGAGGCCTGCTTGATTTCAAACTATACTACAAGGCTATAGTGATAAAAACAGCATGTTACTGGCATGAAAGTGGACACATGGACCAATGGAACATCAGCCCAGGAATGGACCTGCATATATGGTCAACTAATGATTGACATGAGCCCAGAATATTCAGTGGAGGAAAAGAGAGTCTTTTCAATAAAACAGTGTTGGGAAAACTGGATATCCACATGCAAAAGAATGAAATTGGACTCCTATCTACAACACTCACAAAAACTAGCTTGAAATGGGTGAAGGATTTAAACATAAGACCTAAAACCATGAAATGACTGAGGAAAACACAGGGGGAAAAGCTCTTTGACATCAGTCTTGGCAATGATTTCTTGTATATGACACCAAAAACACAAGCAACAAAAGCAAAAATCAACATGTGGGACTTCATCAAACTGAAAAGCTTCTGCACCACAAGATCAACAGTCAACAAAAGAAGGCAGTCTCCAGGTTGGGAGAAAATATTTGCAAATCATATATCAGATAAAGGGTTTAATATCTAAAATATATAAAGAACTCATTTAACTCTATGGTAAAACAACAACGAACAATCCAATAGAAAAAGGGACGTAGAGGTTGAATAGACATTTCACCAAAGAAGACATACAAATGGCTAACAAATACATGAAAAGGTGCTCAACATCACCAACTGTTATGGAAATGCAAATCAAAACCACAATGAGATATCACCTCCCACATGTTAGAATGGCTGTCATCGAAAAGATAGGAGATAACAAATGCTGGCAAGATGTGGAGAAAGGGGAACCCTTGTGTGTTGTTGGTGGTAAATTGGTACAGTCACAATGGAAAACAGTATGGAGGTTCCTCAAAAAATTAAAAATAGAACTATCAAAGGAGCCAACAATCCCACTTCTGGGTATGTATCCAAAGGAGATGAAATCCCTATCTTTAAAAGATAACTGCCTCCCCATGTTCATTAGCAACACTCACAGTAGCCAAGAAATGAAAGAAGTTTAAGTGTTTAAGTGTCTACCTACAGATGAATGGATGAAGAAAATGAGACACCTTTATATGATGGAATATTATTCAGCCACAAAAGAGAAGGAAATCCTGCCACATGAGACAACACGGATGGACCTTGAGGGCATTCTGCCAAATGTCTGCCAAAAGACAAATACTCTATGATTTCACTTATATATGGAATCTAAAAACACTGAACTCCTTGAAAGAGACATTAGAATAGTTTCCAGAGGCATAGGGAAGGAAGAAATAGGAGGTGGTCAAAGAATATAAACTTTTGGTCACAAATGAGTAAGTTCCCTAAAAAAGATGAGTAAGTTCTGGGGATCAATGTACAGGATGTGACTATTGTTAACAAAACTGTCATATACTTGAAAGCTGCTGCTATGAGAGTAGAGCTTTAATGTT